GTGCTGGGGACAGGCGGCGGTTGTGGAACCAGTGAAGTAGACGCAACAGTAACAGCTAATGGCTTGTTGACCAGCTTCTTTGGTCTACTCTTGTTAGTAGAGATAACTGGAATGCCGCCTGTTGTGCGTTGCTGGGTGGCATTGTGATTATCTAACAGCTTCGTGCTTCATGGCATGTTATTGGCTCGCAGTGGGAAACGATACACACAGTGATTTATTCCATGCCACAATCTTATCTCGATCGAGGTTAATCGCCTGTGAAACTCTCGTCGAAAAGCACCTCGACGCATCTGCTGCTCACGTGCGTAGCAGCAACAGTGCCACGATGTTCGAACGGGACTCCACGTGCACAAATGTTGAATACCCGGTCTCCAAAATTTGGTGCACCCTTGTTTAATGATGATCAAAGTGGGACTTCATGTCCAAGATCTTGATTTGCTAAAAGCGGGTTGGGACAGAACGGGATTTGCTTAGAATGTTCACTTGCACCCAAACGTTAGTTCTCAATCCATTGCTTGACAGCTTCTACCTTGACCGCCACCCGTTTGGAATCACTTATTACAAACATCGTTTTCTCGATACAAGGTAGCAAAACGAAGCTGGCTCAGGTTACGTGCCACTTCAGGGAAATCCATCTAATATGATGCAATGAGTTGGATTGTCCGCTCAGTTACTACTTCGGAGTAGACAATGAGTTGGATCGCCGCTCAGTTACTACTTTGGAGTATACTAAGCGGCAATCCAACTCATTGATCCAACTCATTGTCTCTTATTTGTAAGCTCAGTAGTGGCAGTTTTTTTCCTTTTCGTAATTTACCACCGAGAACATTCCTGAACGGGTGAGGTCTCGACCATTCGATATTCAAACCTCAACCGATAAGATTTAACAGACGTTAACTTGACGAATAACGCGAGCCACTTCTTTTGGATCGTTTCATGGATGACAGCAATAGAGCATAAACGCCATCAGATTTTTATCTCAAGGATCAGTTCGACGTGGCGTCCCATAAATGATTGAAAATTTATGTCAAACACCTTTTTTCCGCTTAAGTACGCCAGAAATTTTTCTCCATTTCTCCCTCATTCCAGAATCT